TCCCGGGTGGGCGGGCGGGGGGAGCTGGCAGGGAGAGCGCAGTCAGTGCTGCTGCATCAGCCAGCAGCCCAGGGCTGATCAAGTCAAACAGTTCTCTGCCATTATTTTAGATGTACCTGAAAGCAGCTAATTATTAAATTAAGACTTAATGCGCACTAACGAGCCTGTTTGTGGTTTGCAGGGGCCTTGGGTAAAGCACCAAGTAAAGTCACAGATGCTCTTCCAGAGCCCGAACCCATGGGAGCGGCTGCTGCTGTTGACGAGGAGGAAGACATTGAAGCGATGCAGTCACGGTTAGCGACCCTCCGGAGCTAAGGAGGAAACAAAAGTGTACAGTTTGCCTTTCTTTTTTTTGCAATGGGATATTCTGTCCTACTTTCAAAATGCAAAACTTAATATGTGAGAATACTTTATGTAATATATATAATTTTTTTTTTCTTCCTGGGGATTGTATTCTCCAAGAAACTACTGTAATATACTTCTTGGGGAGTGCAGTCTGTAGAGATTATCTTACTGCTTTCTGTTCGGCCCGTCTCCCCTGTGAGAGGCTGTGGTGAAATGGCAATGGTGGCGTAACGTTATGTATTTTTAGATATAAAGTCCTGAAATACATTCTTAGCTTCCAGTAGCCTTTTTCCCTAAAAGGCACTTTGGCTTTATCTGCTACCAAAACCCTTCAGTGGTGTGGGAGCTTTGTTTTTCTGAATCACTACAAATTTTATTAAAGCTGCTTTTAACAGTCACTCCCATGCATCAGTTTGGTTTGCATCGCTTCAAACTCTTTTCACAAACACAGTCCACCTCTAACAGCTTCCTCTTGGTTTTAATACCTTTTTTTTTTTTTCCCCCGTAGCACATTTAGGGCTTTCAGAGCATAGTTACAGGAAAGCTTTCAGTCAGAACAGCTGGTAAGTAGCTGTGTTCACAAACTTTCACTGGACCCTGAGGCTGGGGCTGTGCCAAGGGAGGTCACGGGCAGTGCTCTGGCCTGGGACCAGAACTGACCCGAAAACCGATCCCCTGTAATTACCTTTTTCAGTCTTTCAAGATTTACAAGAATGAAACCTGGTACCCACCAGCCTTCTGAGAACAGCTGTGGCCCATCCCAGCCGCACACCAGTGGCATTTGTTACCCACTCTGCACATCTGTAACCCCAGTTTTACAGACAAACAGGCCCTAGCCAGAGCAATTCAGCTGGTATTTTGTTAGTCACTGAAGTACTGCACCAAAAGGGAGGTTCACTTCAGATATCCTAACATCTCCTTACTCGTTCCAGGTACTATCACTATCCCACAAGTGGTGAAAGAGCCAGCTTGCTGCTTCAAACGGCACATTTTTAGGGTCCGAGGAGAAGCGTGTCTCCTCTAAAGGGAAAACTGATGTCGGGACTGGCAAAAGGCAGTTTGCAAAGCAGGTATCTGCTGTGTCAGTGCCACAGGAACCTCACAGGCAAAGGAAAGAGTTTCTAGTTTTCGGGAAGACTTACCAAAATAAAACGTAACTCTATAAATAACTGCATTCTAACAGCAAGGGTGGAGGAGCAGACAAGGCACATGGACACCTGGATGGAGTCCAACAACCTCCACTTTCAGCCATAAAGAGCAGGAAGGGGCTGGGTGCTGTTCACCTTCGTGGCAGTGGACAGCAAATACAGGCACAGCCTTGCAAAGTAACCCTAATGCTTTGGGCTGGGCGCTCCTCTGGAGAACTGCGCCGTTCAAGCCTTCCGTTACTACCCCAAACATAACGGGAACAGGCAAAGGGGACAATTTGTTTTTCGTTTTAAAAATCCAGAGTAAATCAGAAAGGGGGGGAAAGAAAAAAGGGGCAATTGAGGAGTCAGTAAGATGGGGTAGAGAACAGCTGCAATAAAAAACAGATTGAACAACAGCACAGCAGTAAAACAGTTCAAAATCCAACTTCAACAATGGGTCTTTTCACATAAGTGTAAGATCAGTGTGACCCATTTCACTCGCTGGGGGGTAAGGTACCTGTACTCCAGCTCCCCACAAATATTCAGCTGGCTCCAGGAAAGGCAATTAGACTGCTTTATTTCATTTACTTCCACCTTGATACTGCAAGGAAGAACATTCAGCTATAGCGCTGCCTTTAAGGATACTTAACTACTTCAAGCACAAAATACCAAATCAAGGTTTTATTGCTCCTCCTTAGAAAAGCCAGCTGATGCAGCTAGAAACAAGCCAGGATATTTACTGTCAGAGGGCTCAGCAAGTAGAGGTGGAGGGAAGTTCAAACAGAACACAGCAAAGATGCATTGCTGAGCAGAATTTAAGCCAGCAGCATGAGCCAAGTGAACCAGAACCTTTCCCCGCATAAGAACACCACAGCGCTTGCACTGCCTCACATTCCTCACCCGGCATTACAGATCATGGCAGTCACCTCAAGATCTGCCGGTCTGAGCCAGGCTGGTGTGTGTGGCACCCCCGGCCAGAGGCAATAACCACACCTCAACTCCATTTCTGGTTTTGCTGCTTCAGTTGTGCTGGGTGCCTGCTCTTGTCTCAGCGGTGAGAGGAAAGAAGCAGATGCACCTACTCGCAGTAGACAGACCTTGTATGAGCCCACTTTTTTCTAACTCAAGAGACTCCTACTCCCTGCAGGTCACTGCAGTCTCTGCCGCACTTCAGATACAGAGGGACACATAAGAGGAAATTTCTCTGAAAAAAATCAAACATACTGGCACCTGGGACAGATCAGTTAATGCTGACCATAAATAGCAGGTGAAGTACTATGGGGAAGGGAATTTGCAGAGAGTTTCTGAATTTGTTACACAAATTTGTTACAATTTTGGCTCACTAAGAGGTTTCCTCTCCTGCCTGGCTCTGCGCAACAGCCATCTCGTGCATTTCAGGGCTAGGAAGGACACTGAAGAACACCAAGGTTCATTTTATCTCAGCTTATCCTGTTAGATGAGAGATGCCCTTTCCCACTCTCGGCCCCTGTGCCTGTTTCAAGTTGTTTTCAGTCTTTTTCCAAGTAATTTTGGAGCAACCTGTGTGCCGTTTAAGACCGAAGCTGCGAAACCCATTTGATACAGACAGTGGTACTGGTGTTGGCTGAGAAGCAGTGGTCAATGTGGCACATGCTTTGGTTAACCAAAAAACCAAAAAAGCTATAAAACAGATCTGTCACTAAATTCAATACCCTCAGCCTCTAAAAAACCAGTATGTGATACACACTTGGTTTTGCATTTCAAAGCACTGCATCGAATTAATTACACTTTAAAGAGACAATTGAAGAAGCCAGGCACAGAACAATATCTGAAATAGAAGAATTTTATGTAGACCATTCAGTGTTAAAAACCAGAGAATCAAACATCAGTTCAAATTAAAGAGCAGTTTCAAACAGAAGACATTTGATTAAAAGTTTCTTTTAACATTTAGAAATTTAAATACATTTACCTAAAGATGGTTAACCCCCATCTCTATGTTACTATACAATAGCTTAAAGCTACTTTTAAATGCTAGTTCTATGTTAATGTGAAATTCCAGAACTGCATTCTTATTTTTTTTTAATGTAAATTGATTATTAAACGGGGTGGCTCTGTACTTCCTCCCACCCCAAAATACACGTTAAAAATTGGAGCTTTACAATGTCTTGAATAATATTTTTCAAATGAGTAATTTGGAATAATTTCTGACAGTTCTATAGGAGGTATTTTGTACAGTTTGGAGAGCAACTCCATATAAAGTTCTATTGCAACTGAGCATTCACAGTATGCCACAGTCCATACATATTACTACATATACATATCAGGTTTGTAAACATCGGAAGAATACACAGAACATAGTACCACAATCCTCTGGTACCGCCGAAAGGAAGATGAGGTAACATTCATATAATCTCAAAAGTCCACAGAGGTCCTGACTGAGTAGTTAAAACAGCTGCCAACGCTTCCGTTCCATAGTATGTGGTTAAGGCTTTCTACTTTACGGTCTGCTAAGGCTGGATTCATTAGCTCTCAGTATCCCGACTGCATCTTTAACAGCGTGGTATATGACATTCTTCACCTGGGGGGGAAGAAAAGGCATTCAGTTTTACAAGGAAACAGTGTGGTTAGGGTCAGGTTGGAAGACTGACAGAAAACACCCGCACAACTTGCCAGCTTTCCCACTTCCCCACACCCTGTGCAGCTCTCCTTTCAGTTTAAAGACGCTTATCTGCACAACCTTCACATAAATCACTAATTGTGAAAACAAGGTTCAAATTCTAACAGGATATAAACTGCAGCCCTGTACCTGAGGAGAGCATTGCAAGCTCAGCTAGAGGGAAAACAAAAGACATGGAAGAAGAAAACATTTCAAAAGAATCTCAGAAGCTTCAGAAGGCTTCCTCAAAACTGCTAAAAAACTGTAATAAATCAAAAACCTTCGGAAATTCCTCTTCAAGATCCAATGCATTAAAGCCGATCTGAACATGAGAGCGCAGCTTGGGGTGTGTGGACACGCCCCTCATGGGTTTGGTGAGGGTTGTTTCTGGGGTTTTGGTGGTTTGGGTTGGTTTTTATTTTTGAAAGGGTTAAGAGGGGCAGGGTTTATCTGGAACATCGGTAAGTTACCTGCAATTTATCTTCATGGTTCGTATGCGTATGTGACAGATACCTAAATTCCTGAGTAAGCCAGAAGCAGTGTTTGACATGCTCTGGGGATACAAAGTCTTCCGCAACTTTAATACAACTGTACAAATTATGAACCTAGAGAGAACAAACAAGCGTTAGGCATGTGCTCGGAAGTCTGCCCGAGTGGCCAGGCTGTAACAGCCTCCCCGGTCCTTGCCTGGTGTGGAGCTCCTGCTGGAATGAAAACTACATCTCCTAGAAACTGTACAATAGCCCAGCCTTGAACTCCATACTCTTGATGAAGGCGTTTTCTTAGCGATCGGTCCAAGTACCAACTCTGATCGTGAATGGGATCGTGATCTACAGGGTTCTCTTGACCTTGTTCTTCCGCAACCTGGAAAGACACAAGACAACAGGTATTAGAATATACTGGTCTTACTGGGCAATCAAGATGGATCTGTGGTATTGCGTATGCACGCATGCCAGAGAGAGTGACTTGCACCATGCGTTCAGGTGTAAGAGTTATACAAGGAAAGGTTTGGATTCTTATTCAGTCTTTTGTTTGTCAAGGCTGCGTCATTTCTCAGTCCCTCTTGCTTCACCGACGCATTGCAAATGCGGATATAGGAAATGCAAGTAAACCCAATTTACAGTAAGAAGAAACAGAAGAGTTAAGTGACTCGTGTGTTCTCAGCGGGAACCACTGTGATATATGGGATCAATACTCTTAGGCTACTATAGCTTGTAACTGGAAGAAACTACTGGGTGGAATTCAGCAGATGCCTGCCCTAAGGCCAGCAGTAGTCAGTGTGCTCACTGACCAAAACAGAGGATGCGAAACAGGTTTTGGGGAGATACGAGGCTGGGAGGCAGCAACAAGCACTTTAGAAGAGAAATTTGAGGGCTGCAGGGAAAGAATTGCTGCAAAAAGTTCCAGTATAAATCCAATGTGCTGTGCCAGTCATTTACACCCAGGACCGTAGCCCAAAAATTCATTTAGGAGGAGATAAAAACA